GCAGCTCCCTGTGTGCCGGAAGCCCTCTGTCAGGTTGTCATGTTTCTTTAAACACATGACAGGCAATTTTTTTGGTAAGTGTTTTCTTACCATGCTGAATAGAGAATAAAATAATAAAAATAGTAGAAAAAAAGATGGAAGGAATGAACTTAATCTTGTGATCTCTTAACAACTGCCCATTTTATCAAGTGAGGTTGTGTGACTGTAATTTCTGTAGGTATGTTGACTGTAATGAGTGATTACTATTTTGAAAATTATAACTTCAGAAGGAATTTAGCTTGCACTTGCAAGTATAATTACTTTTAAGACAAAATGTAACTTTTCTCATATTTTGTTCTAAATGTCAGTATCCTTTGCAGTCTAAAATCACTTTATAAAATATGTTATCTCTATTAAAATTATTTTCTTACTAATAGCTTTAGTTTGAAACTCAAAATTCTAAAAGTTTGATGAGAAAGAAAATTGTAAATATTAACCCAACCACTCCCGATAGCAAAGCTTGTTTAATGACCGAGGTGTTGTTGCTGCTATTGTCAGTTTGAGTTAATTGAACCAGTGTGCTGCTGCGCGCACACACACTGAGGCCTACCAAGATATAAAGGTGATATTTCAGCTGTAGATATGGATCTTAGGAATAATAGCAAAGAAATGAAAATATGAACTGCTGCTTTGAAGTCGAGCCTGTGTTGGATACATGTTTTGAATTTTTGTTCTTAGACTTTCAAAGTGTTCAGGCATCAGAGAGCAAGATGAAGAGTCTTAATAAATGGATTGATGATTTCCAAATCAAAGCAGAAATATTTCCTCAGGTCCAAAATGTCGCCAACCAAAATAAAGGTAATATTAGGGCTGGAAGAAACTATCTTTTCCGAATGCTGGATGTTTTTTCTTCTTGCAGCCCTAAGATCTATACAATGATTTTACTCAACAGGGAGCATTCTGATACAGCAGTATGATTGTGATAGATTTTTGGCTCTGTTTTGAGGTATGGCCAAAATATTCAATGCGTGTTTCAATTTTAAAAAATTACAGTGAAAGACACATTGCCATTAACCCACCTCAAAATGCTCCACCTCTCTTGGAACACACTTACCCTATCTTTCTTGCCACTCTCTGAAGCAGTTCTAAAACTTCTTGTTTGTGAGTGCCTTTATAAGGTATGGTAGAAAATATGGTGAAGGCTGCTCCTGAGTGCCATCCAACAGGAAGGCAGGCTCACAAAAATGTTATGCTGTGTCCTCATCTGTTTTATTTACTGGATCTGGTACTGTGAAACTTCTGGCTCTTCCTCAAAGTCAAAAGACCATGACCGGTATATGTTTTAAATCAATTCAGGACATTGAGTTAGTCATAAGCGCCCAACTGAAGACAACGCAGACTTTCAGAAAGACTTCAGGAAGTAGCAATAGTGGAATAAATGTGTTTGAAGTAAAAAGGAGTATTTTCAGGATAGGGGTGGTTTGTAGCAGTGTCTGTTACTGTGGCAATTTTTTAAAAATGTAAACATTTATTGTATTATTTGATCACACCATGTACTATGTCATTTTATGAAATGCAATGAGTTTATGAAAAACTAAGTTGTTATCAACATAGTCTCCTAACTAATTGGCACATAGAATCACGCATTTACATTTATTGAATGTATAGTGCATGCCCGTCATTAGGCAGATGATCAATAATATGGGTCCTACACTTGGGAGGCTTTCAGGAAAACTGATGAACTAAAAATACACCAGTGTGTCAAAGCATGCATTTGAGGTATGTGCAAGATGTTCAACAAACCCAGAAGCAGAATTTAAATATCAGAAAAATTGTAATTTCACAGCATTTATGTTGCTCTTTAAGGAGTTTAAAATACCAATGTAATTGTTGTTTCTTTATACCAGATAAATTATAATATAAAATAGTCTGTGTTCATGATGAAATTTTATAAGAGCCTTGAATTAAAATACTCCCTTTGGCTTTGAGTGATTGAGCCAATGGTGAACAATTAAAACAAGAAATCCAGGGTTCCTCCGTAGTTGCTGTGGTTAAAAAGCTGATGTCTTAATAATCAACTGTTTCAGCCAACTAATTCGGCAGGAAAAGTGACTTGAACAAAAATGAACATTTTAGCACTTGATTACATCATTATGTAGCTCTTGAAATAGTACACAAATCAGATGCAGTGTACATTCTCATCTGGTTCTGTTTCCTACAGAAATCTTAAAGAGGCTCCAAACCCAGAATGCAGATCTCATCAAGGCTGTGCAAAAACTAATGGCCAAAGAAGGTAATCTGGAAGGGAGAGTGTTTTGAGCTGGTATTGATTTCTTCCATCAGCGTCATTCTTTCAAGTGGGAAGGCCATGAAGCAGGAAGGTCTTGTGTGTGAGGTTCTGTGGATTCTATTATAAACATTTTTCTCCCAGGACACAGGTGTGGATGTCCTCCAAACCACTGGCTGCAGTATAGAGACCACTGCTACTACCAAACTGTAGAGATGGTTTCCTGGCTAGACTGCTCTGATCTTTGCATTTCTTTGAATGCTACATTTTTAGAGTCCAAAAGGAGCTCATTGATGGTAAAGTCTAATCTTCTGCTTTACATTTCTGATGTGAGCACAGAGTAGGAACCATGGGCAGCTCTGACACAAGGGAGAAGGATGCACTTGCTTCATTATGAACAGTGTTTCCGGGTGTCCTCACTTAGGCAGGCTTTTCCTTTCCTTGCATCCAGGCATCTCTTGCTGTAGGAACCTTGCACTCACCTACCATTCTGCAGTCAGTGTCCCCTCAGGTAGAGTCAGTGCTTTCTGCTCACTTGAAGAAGTTCCTTCTTTATGTACTTACTTAGGCACTTTCTTAGTAATAAGAACTTCCCAACAGCCCTAGGGAAAAGCACCGCCTGCACATCTGTGCTCCTCACACATCCTCCTTTCCCCTGTTCTAATCTTCCAGAGTGTTTCCTCATATAACATATAATTTCCTTTTGTTTGCCCCAAACCTCCCCAAGGCAGGGATTACTGCCCAGTTGTATATCTAAAGATTGAAGCATAGAGCTGAATAAGCTAAAAAATGAATGAAGAAAGGTGTTGTGGTGTAGTGCCCTGGATTATAAATCCTTCCATTAGTTATCTTTATATTTCTCTGTATTTAAATCGTGTTTTGAAACATGGACACATGCTGAAGTAGAAAATACTATTTTTGATGTTTCATTTATTAGACAGCATATATAGTCTGCTGTTCTTTTATGATTCTTTCATTTCTTGTTTGACACAAATTCATACCGGTCATCTCTTATGCTGTATTTTTTCTTATGCTCTATTTATAAAGAACTTTGTGTATTTTGTCTTCATGTAGAACATCATGGAACTGCTTTCAGGAAATCACACCTGGATTGGCCTATCTTATAAGCAGGAGGACAACCAGTGGAAGTGGGTGGACGGCTCCCCTCCTTTGCTTGACCTGTAAGTGTCTGGTGGGATATTCCTTATTCCTTTCTCAGTGTGTCAGTATCCTTTGTGTATAGAGCAGGAGGAAATAGAGAAGATTCCTGGGGACAGATTTTCCATGTCTTGCTCTTTTTATTTCATATTATGATGGGATTAGTTTCATAAAACATAAAGTCATTTGGATATTTCATAATATGTGGATAACATGTCTTTAGCATTAAATGACTCTAGTATTAATACACTTCTATTATTAAATGATTTCATGGATTAAAATTGTTGGTAATAAATGTATTGAGATTAACATCCTGATATATTATGTATAAATTGTTTCTCCTCAGCCAATGACTCTGGATCTCTTTAAACGAGTTTTAAGTAGCTTTTATTTACATTGTCCTTCAGAAAACTTTGTGTTAAACAAATGTAGAAGAAACATAGCAAGCTGTCTCATCAGTGTTAGTTTCAAAGTTTAGGTAAAGTTGATAGCTCATTATTTTATTTTGTGCTTTTATTTCATATTTTTTGGTGCTTAATAGTGACATCCTGCACCTTGTAGAAAATCTTTTGCCTGATTTTCATATTTATCTTTTATTTCTCAGATAAATGTCTTATGTATTAAAATATAACTTCTCTTTCCTGCATACCTTGCCGTTTTTCTTCACTAATTTAGTTTTAAAGCTTTTTTTGTTTTTATTATATGAAAGAATATTTAACATTTTACTAGATTGAAATTGTCTTTATTCATTTGTAATTTATTGTGGGACATGAGGGGAAAAGCTGAGATACTGTATGTACTTGTGCATGCATATACAGACATAATTGTCTTTCTGTCTCTTTCTATATATATTTATATTTCAACTAAATATACTGTTTAAATGATTTATTTTGTTTTATTTCTATTCATATTTTTATAACAACATTAAAATGTAATATTTAATTTAATATTTAAGTAATTTATATCCATTTAATGTAATTTAAATATTTCATCATCTGTGTGAACATTTTGGTAAATATACTTGGATATTTTTCTGGGCTTGCTTGTCCTAATATATCAAATTATGAGTGTACTCTTACTTTCATAGTAATCATTTTACTTACTGGAGTTTTGTTGTTGGTAGCTCTCCAATCCTTTAAACTTTGTATGATGTTTGGGATGTAGAACACTCAGGAATCAATAAATTAGGAGGGTTTTTTTTTTTTTTTTTTTTTTGTACTGGAGATCGAACTCAGGATCTGGTGCTTTCCAGACAGATGCCTGTGCCGCTGAGCTATATCCCCAGCTAAATTAGGAATATATACAAAAATTTGGACAGTTTGTATTTACTAATAGTTCCTAATTTCCTTTGTCATATTCCTCTGGCACTTTGGAATGAAATACACTGTGTACTTAATAGTTGAGCAGAAAACTTTACCTTTATCAGACTATATCATAGAACTAGTTTTGTGCTAGTGTTGAGGGGTAGTCTTGTTGATACTGACCTCAAATAACAGATCTCTAGTCAGAGACAATTCAATTAGAATACTTACCAGCATCTTCTCTGTGGTATTTCCCTTAGTGGTGATTTTTTATGTTGAAGTGTATATCACAGGAGACTGTGCTGACACATTACACACACATATGTAATTTTAAAGTTTATTATTAAGTTTGGTTGACTTTTATATCTGATGCAATGTACTTATAAGTAAAATATACCTCTTTCACCTGTACTTGTACATGGATAGTTAAGTAGCTTCTATTACGCTCACTTGCATTGCAATTTAATTTTATATCATATATAAAATATAATTATATAATTTATACCATATATATAATTTTATATCATATATCAATATCATATATTGTCATATATTTCACCTTGCAAATTATTGCTAGACTGTTTGAGCCAGTCCAGCCTCTTTCTCTATACAAGTGTATTTTTTCTACTCATATATCAATATCACACTCTGTAAAACTGGTTTATTACTTGTATATATATGTATATATATATATATATACATATATATATTTCTTCTATAAACACACAAGAGAGAAAGAGTATTTATAGTCTCCGCAGCACTTAGTATAATGAATTTCATGCAGAAGTTCTGAAGTTATACCACTTACTTGCAACACACTGAGTGAGTAATGAATTTTGTTTTCTAATTGCTCAGGGGTCTGCCAGAATCAAGTGCCGACCTCCAGGGGCAGTGTGTCTATCTGAATAAGCAGGTAATTGGTACTGAGGACTGCACCACACCCTCCTCATGCCTGTGTGAGAAGTCTGCTTATGCTGCGAACTCTGAAGGTTGCTAAGGAAAAGCTACGACGCTCCTGTCCTTATTGCCAAGGTTATCTCATTTAATGTGTAACTCTTTTTATTCATGGAAGAAACTGAGTTTGAGATAGAAAGAGGCGGAATATAAGATTACAGGGAAAATATCGGTGTAGCCTCCCAAATTTAGAAATTTCAGAATTTGGTTACTTTTGTTAGAATTATATAATTGAACTAATAAATACATTTTTGGCATGAATGTTTAGACTCCTCCGATCTTTTTTGTTTCACAATATATTTACATATTCATTTAGAATTGGGACTCTATGGATGCAAATCTTCAAAGCAAGTGCAACGAGAAATACATCATAAATGATTCAACTCATTCAAAGTGTGGTTAACAGTACAAAACTATCAGTAGTAACAAAAGTAGGAAATTTAAAAAATAAAATTTAATTAAAACAAATTTCTGAAGTCATCTATTTTCCAAGTTGCTTGCATAAGTATTCCTAGTAGATTTTAAATTATATCAAGAGGGAGCTTGAACTCTATTCTTGTCTTAGTGACATTTTTCCTGAAAAGTGTATCCTGGAATAAGCTTTGGGTCTAGTTTTCTCCCATAATATAGGATTTCAAGTTTTCATTCTATTAATTTCCTCCCTCACATATGGACAACTACTTTTATTTAAAAGTGTATTACTTTCAGGACATGAACCTGTATCTCCATCCGCATCTTAAACTCAGGTTCTCTTCTAATTGCCATGCTCTGCTCTAAGTTTACCTACAAAGTAAATGTTTGAGCAAAAAGTTTACACCGATTGTGTGCTTTCCACATTCCAGTTGTTATTCAGAATATTATTATTTGGATTCTCTCCTCTCCTATTCACTAGGTGGCTGCTGTTTAACACACAAATCTGTTATTCATTCATCCACTCAGTTTGAACACTTTTTTGATTTGTCTTTATTTTATCACTAACTTTAATTCATAAAGTCCACTTTTTTCAATCCTTATGCCATCTTATCAGCAGAATTTTAATTTACTTTCACTTTTTTTGTGAGGTTGACTATCAAATCCAAGCCCTTGTGCATGCTAGAGAAGCACTCTACCAGTTGATCTACACCCCAACCCAATTAAAAGCATTTAAGTGAATTATGATTTCATTATTCTTTACAAATATTATTTTTATTTTATTATCTTTGGACACAGCAGTATTTTGTTGTTTTCTTCCTACTATGCTGGTCCTATAGTCTTAGTTCCTTTGTGAATTTTTCTATAATTGCTCTTTCATGCTTTTCAACTTAGAATTTTCACTAGGAAACATTCATGTCACTTAGGATGATATTTGATTTATTCACACAGATGCAGTAAGAGGAACATTGAGGTAAGTAATAAGACAAGGCCTGAGTGTAAATATCTTCTATTATATTTTCTACATATTTGACATTCTATAAATTCTACAACTGTGAGTTTCAGTTTTCTAATTAATAAAACAGAGATGATGTAATAGCTGTAATTCACAGTTGCTGGGGGATTAAATAGTACCATATGTTTGAACAATTTAGAAGAATACTTTAAAACAGCAGAGTGAGTGTAAGTGTTAGATTGGTATTATTTTAATTAAGCAGGAAAAATTTAAGTTCCTTATAGACTGTGAAGCTCTATGTAATTTTAAGGTATCAAATATAGAATATCTTTTCATGTCTAAATATGTTAAGAAAAAGTAAATACAGTAATGACACATAAAATTTACTTTGTGCTAAATACTGTAAGTGATTCATAGGGATTTAGTTAATCTTATGCTCAAGATAACTCTATAGTGCAGCTTATAATATCAATTTTTAATACTATCCCCATTAATAGAAGAAAGAAGTAGTTAAATTTTCAAGGTTTTAGGATATAATAGTAGATCTAAAATTTGAACTCAGAAATCTTAATGCTGAAGTCTATGCCCTGAAACTCTACCATATTCACATTCACATGTGTGGTACCTACTCAAAGAAGTGCACAGCATAGGTATAATACCGCACTTCTTGGAAAATAACATTATATTGGAAACCCTAAAAAGCAGAGAATAACATGCTTAATGGTTCTATATTAGCTGTGTTAGTCAACTTTCCTATTGCGTGGGCAAGTACTTGATATCTGTAACTTAAAACAGGAGAAGTTTATTTTGGTTCAAGTTTCAGAGATATTGCAATGGCAAGCAGAAACACTGAAGTGGCACCCAATATTTGGAGGCAGATTTACTTACTTCAACAGGCATTGATAGGGATCATTCCCAGAGTATCAGGGCCTTGATCTCTGGTGGTCCAGGGCTTTTTTTTTTTGTCTTTTTGAGACAGGGTCTCACTAGCCCAGGCTGTCTCAAACTCACAACGATCCTCCTGCTTCAGCCTCCTGAGTGCTGGGATTACAGGTATACACCACCACACCTGGCCTGGTCCAGGGCTTTTATATGATGCTCAAGTAGGAGGTACAAAGGCCAGACAGAACAGCCTGGCAGTTCTTGTGAGTAGCTAGCAGGATTGGATCATCATTTACAGGGTAGATTAATAATCATCAGTTGATGAAGCTTAGTACAATGGTACAATCAGGCATCATGCATGTTTGGTTATACTCTCCTGGTTACAGGGGTCAGGAAAATAATTACAAAGCCATGAAGCAGTTACAGAGCTAGGTAGTTTCAAAAGAATAAAGGTTTAAAAGGAACAATTTCTCTTTACAGTTTTTCTCTTTCACTTTCAGTCCATGTTCAGCTAGGTCTGAGGAAACAGCATTATGGAAGAAGGGTATGGTGGAGCACACCTGCTCACTTCATGGTGGCGAGGAAGCAGAGCAAAGAAAATAGTACTACACTTAAAGGGACCAGGAACTACATACAGTCCTCACGGTCATGGACCCATGACCAACTTCCTCTAACCAGGCCACATTTCCTAATAATCCACTCAGTTATAAACTCAATAATGTTTTAATCCATTAGTGACTTTAGTGACCTAACAATCCAATTATCTCCCTAGAGGTCTGTTAATCTATGCAAATTGGCAATCAAGATTAAGCATCACATCAATATACGACAATGGGGTATTCAGAAGACAATACAAGCGTGTGCAGTTTTGCAGTAGAATTCTAGTGACAGAGAATATGTTCCTTGAATAACAGAGTTCTCAACAGAGTTTGAGATGTTCTGAAAAGATTGCAAGTCAGTTTCCTGGGAAAATATCACCTGAGCCAGAAGTTAGTGTATTGAAAGTACTCTGAGGATAAACACTTTGGAAGAAAGAGGAAAGACGTATTGGATAGAATGAGCTATAATGAAGTTACAACTAAGCTTCCGCCAAAGTAATGAAGATCTCTTCATAATAGTCACAAATTGGGGTGAGGCTTGGGACTTTATACCTCTTGTGTTTCTCAGTCCAGGGAGAAATGGCCTATAGAATGGCTAGCGATCTTGAGCAAAAATTTTTAGCTAGAGGAAACACTTCTGGGCCAAGAGCTACAAGGTGGATCTGGGCTCAGATCCCAGGATCTGTGCAAATCAATACATTGTCCTGAAAGAGAAATCTGGGAACACCATGGTATTCAGGCATTCAGCAGAGGACAAAGAACTCAAACCTGAAGAACTGATTTGAATTCACGAGATATGTTATGGGTAAGCAGCTTTCCATCAGAGAAAAGAGGGTCAATAACAAACAATGACATTGAAGAGCAATAAAAAGCTCCCAACAAAGAAAAGACCGGGACTGGAAGACTCACTGTTGACCTTTGTCAGATTACGAAAGAAGAATTAACACAAAGTTCTTCAAATTATTCTAAGCTACTGTCCAAACTATTTCCAAATTTGCAAATAGGGAAGCAACACTCCAAAACTCATTCTAAAAAGCCAGTATCATCCCGATCCCCAAACTGGATAAGGACACAGTAAAAAATGAAACTGTAGAAAAAATCCTTGATGAACATAGATGCAAAAGTGCTTAGTAATGAGTGACAAAGAGTAACGAGAAGGACATCACTTACAGTCTCAATTTTACCAGTTAACAGTTTTCTAAAAGAATTAATCTGATTGCAATCTTATTAGGTTACATTATGATAGATTATGGAGAATAAATAAAATTTCTAGGAACAGAAGAAAGGACTTTTAGGGATATCTTCCTTCATTGATTTATTGAAATTTTTATTTGAAAGAGAATAAAAAACCAATAAAAATGGTACATAATTTCAAAACAAGATGATAGGAAATTAAAAATGGTTATTATATTGCATATTGTTATCTTCAAAGTAGTTGTTCAGATTACCAGATACAGGCATGCAAAATTGATCAAACAGTAAGGTATTAACTGTTCCTTTCATTAAATCAATAGAAATCAGTGGTATAATTTTCTGGAGGGTTTTTCCTTACTTGAACATAGTTTTACCTTCCTCCTTGTTTTACAGAAATTTAAGAGTGGTTTTTTATTTGGAGGAATTTTGAGGGTTTGTACATCTTAGAAATTATATTTGCAGAACCAATGTGGTAAGTGTGCATTAATAGAGTCACTGGAATTATTTATTAATAGAATTACCTCTGACAAGTCAGTAATTTTATTCAACAAAAATAGTAATTGATATTACAAAGACACAATGTGGTTGTTTTAATTTCAATACACCCACCAGAAATAAGCAATTAAATGTCTGTAAGATTTGGAATATAAGAGTATTCGATAACAAATGTGTTTTTATTTTTTATAAAATTTTATATGAAAAAAATTAAAAATTAAAGCATCACAACAAACACAAGGACAGTATATTCTCCTTGTACTTGGAAGGCACTTTTTGATGGCTATATGTTGCGTAGTTATCTAGCCCATTCTTTATTTTACAGATTATAAACCTAGTTCCAGTGAGAATGTAAAACACAGGGCTACACATTTGCCTCAGCTACATTGATTTGGTAAAGGAATTTGTGCAATATATGAATTTAGATATATGTAAATGATATTCATCTTTATCAATAAAAATATTAATGAGCCTTTAATCTTCTGTTTTATTTATCTACCTGGCCAA